AATGTGGTAGTGGTAACATAGCAAGCAAGCAAACTTATTTATATAGCAGTTTTCATACACTGCGTTCATTCAAAGTGCTTTACAGAACTGAAGCTGCAAGTACAAATACAAAGATACTTCAGAGAGAAAACAAATAAATAAAAAAGTAAAATTAATAATTAACAGACAAGATATTAAAAACAAGATTAAAACAGTGAACATAAGTTTGTCAAAGTGCTTTGACAGATGCAAAGAAATAAATATAAAAGGTATTTCAGATTTTTTTTTTTTAAAGTTCTCAAATAAAGTAGAGGTACCTCAAAACTGAACTTTAATACAGTACTTAATTTACTTAATTACACTTCACGTCTGGGCACATTCCTGTGTAATTCTTAGCTGCACAAGAATAAGTTCACGTTTTGTAATCTGGTCTGACAGAAACAGCTGCAGTGAACCCCTGTTTCTGTGGGTTTAATTACATCTCATTGTCAATTATCAATGTTGTTTTTTACATTTTTTTAATAACTTATATTTCATAATTTCCAGGTGTGGAAACATGTGATGGCAGACAGGATGGAGCTCAGTGTTATGGAGCTTTGGGAGGAATTGTGGTCCTCCAGGTGATGGACAACGCCTCAGAAATATTTAGATACCAATTGTTAAGCAACAGAACAGTAATACTTGCAGGGAGAAAAAATCAGATTCTGTCTAATCTGATAGAAAACAGATCCTCATTTACTCCCATTAATGGAACATTTAGGATCAACAACCTGAGCTGGACTGATGGTGGTGAATATTCTCTAGAAATCTTTGATTCAAATGGACAGAGATCAGAGCAGCGGACTCTACATTTGACCATTCAAGGTAAATAAAATGGTGAAAAAACGGAAATATTCTGGCAGCTGGGGCGGCAGAAAAATACCGTAAAATAACAGTAAACAACCAACTCGTAAAAATACAATGCAATTTTTGGGGCTTTTATTGTTTAATTAAGAACATATACACCTATAAAAACAATTAAATTACCTTTAAATATAGTTGAACACTGCTATAATACAAATAATCAGGCTGAGATGGATGAGAAGGCCTGGCTCGCACTCTCCGCTCTAATTCATCCCAAAGGTGTTCTATCAGGTTGGGGTCAGGACTGTGCACCAAACTCGTTTATCCATGTCTTTCTGGACCTTGCTTTGTGCACTGGTGCACAGTCATGTTGGAACAGGAAGGGGCCATTCCCAAACTGTTTCCACAAAGCTGGGAGCATGAAATTGTCCTAAATGTTTTGGTATGCCAGAGAACACGTCTCCACAGCACTAGTGGCGGCGTGCTTTTCACCATGTATCTGACGCTTTGCATTGCACTTGGTGATGTAAGGCTTGGATGCAGCTGCTCTGCCATGGAAACCCATTCTATTAAGCTCTCTACGCACTGTTCTAGAGCTAATCTGAAGGCCACACGACATTTGGAGGTCTGTAGCTCTCGGCGCGGAGTCGGCGCATCTGCAGAAGCTGCCAACTTTCTGCATTCAATGATTCGGAAGGGGTGTCTCCATACTTTTGTCAATATAGTGTATACCGTCAGATCACACAGTCCTATTTATCAATGCAGTTATATTGTAAATCAAACGCTGTCAAGCTTTTGGATGTAAGGAACGGCAAGCTAATGTAGATCATCTGCCTTTTGCTTATTGCTCACACTTAATGGAAGAGCTGGTGGTGGAGGGGGAGTGGTTATCTGCTCTGTCATTTCTGCAGCCATGTAGCCACCAGACTTTCTATGGGCTATGGACTAACACATTTCCAGAACTTGGTCACCATACCAATTATTAAGGGAAACTTACTTAATGTCTTGCAGACCTTGGATAGATATACTGTTGATTTTGTTTAACGTTGTTTATATTTTCCAATTGAGCTAAGAACCCAAGTGGTTTGTTTAGGTCATCCAGAGGTGTTGTTGTGCAAAGTCAGTCGAATCTGAAAATGTACTTTTGGCTTGCATACCAAAAACTTGCAAACAAATTTATCCATTTGGACTGCCAAGAAAAACTTCACATTCGCACTTGTCTTTCTACTTGCATATATTTACATCTTTTTTGTATACCAACTTAATTTAGAAATGTTGGACTTCCCCAACTCCCGTGCACATAGTTGTGCGCTGCCTTGCAAGGCCAGGTGGACCTAATTCAGCAATCAGCTGTAGCACTCCTGGGGCAAAACTAGAAGACAGAAAAGGAACAAGGATACACAGCACAGAGAAACGCATATAGCCGTAACAACATTTACCAGATACCTAAACTGGCTTTAGAAAGTCATAAAATATCATATTGAAACCAGGGAAGAAGTCTTTGGATCAGTCCTGAATGAAAGCAAAATGCCAGCATTTTAAGAAATACTTTCCAATTGCTTTACATTCAGATTGCACTTTTTTGCATCTTGGAGCTGTGTCTAACAGTATCCAAAATATTCTTTATGTTGACCCAATTAGGTTTCTAATGAATAGATCTGAAAATATCGTCAATAATGTATATAAAAAAAAACAATTCTTTTAACCCACTGTGACCCATCCACTTGTGACCTTGATTGTAAGTTGCTTTAGGTAAAAGCGTCCGCTAAATGAATAAATGTCTGAATTTGCTCAAATTAAGTAAATTTAAGGAAGTCTGAAACTTTCAGAAATAGCCCTAGTACAAGATTACTCAAAATGGATTTCTGGTCTCTATTATAGGATAAATGGTAATGTAAAATAATGTGAACATGTGGTCATTTTTAATTATGAAAAAACAGGATTTAAATATGTTTACTTTAGGTTTGATAATACACCTATAGCTAAGACTCTTCAATCAAGTATCTGTAAAATGGCATTAAAATAAATTTTCATCACAAACCCATAATTTTACAGGAAGTTTTCTTTTTTAACCCCATTAAAAGGTGAACACCTGTCATTTAACAATAAATTAAATATTACCTTTCTGTAATTTTCCACTTTGGGGCAATTATATACTATGTTAATCTAACTTGTAATCTAAGAATTATAATAAAATTCAAAAGCTGTGAAATTACAGTAATTATGGCTGTTTCAATGTTCAAAACTGTTTCGACAGTTTAACAATACTTGTAGACACTATATACTGATTAAAATAACATTTATTCAATGTTTTTATTTTCCAAATATCAATAATTAAAGGAGATATTTGTCAATTAACTAGAAAACCTATGTCAAGTTACAGAAAAAATGTTTTTTGTTACGGTTAACTGTTACTAATTGTACCAAGTTTAAGAAATGTTTTTACAGTATTAAACTTATTTTTAACAGTTTCTTCTTTTAAATAATAAAAATTATTTATATATGTTTGTTTACGTAAAAAAACAATATTTTCTTTAAAATAACAGAAATGTTATGGTTAATCACAGCTACAGGTTTTTCATATTATTTTACATTAGACATGTAAATTCACAGTTTATTTTTGCACTTTTTTGATATTTTCATGTATTTCAAAAATACAGGAAAACTGTGAAATAAAAAGGAATAAAACTTTAAAATTACAGATTTTCTTTATAGTGTACTGGAAATTTTTGTAACATTAAAAATACACCATGACAAGTAAAAGCCCTGCATTCAAATGTTTACTTAAGTAAGAGAACACAAGTACCTGCAAAATATAATTAGGTTATTACAAATTAAAGTAAGCCTATTGTTCTAGTCCTCATTTCACCACATGGTAGTGATGTGGGATTATGCACAATATCAATAAGGAGGGACGTGTCATTGTTGCAATTACCTGTATGCCATGTTGGAGGCCATGCCTTGCTTCTTTTATTAAAATCAGTAACCATCACAGCCGATCCTGAGTCCTTCTACACATTACACTCACAGTCCTGAATGGCCCCATTCAGAGTGTTTTGTCAGAATATTATCATATAATAATATGTATAATTGGACTATTATTATTGATGCATTATCATGTAACTTGCATATTAATTCATTAATTCATGTAAAATATGAATCTGAAAAATAACTACTAATTGTAGCTGCAGAATAAATATAGTGAAGTAAAAAGTAAAATAGACAGATCCTCATTTACTCCCAGTGATGCAACATTTAGGATCAACAACCTGAGTTGGACTGATGGTGGTGAATAAACTCTTGAAATCTTTGATTCAAATGGAACGAGATCAGAGCTGTAGACTATAAAGTTGGTCACTCAAGGTAAATAACAATTTTGACTACTGGAGAATTTAGTGATATTAATAGACACATGTTATATTCTATTTCCAAACTTCATGTATCTCATATTCTGCCAATATATTTGTACTGTATATCTATCTATGCCTATTAGAAACTGTGTAGAATAACCAAGATTTATCAAGAAGAATGTGTTTCCTTCAGCTCCTGTGACCTCTGTCCTGCTGGTCTCTGAGTGTCTGTCCCAGGGAGAGATGAGGGTGTCCTGCTCCTCTGAGGGAGGGGACAGTCCTCAGTACAGCTGGACTCTGGATGGACACACACTGACAGACGCTCAGCTCCTCTCTGGAAACAATGAGAGTAACAACATCACTCTGAAACAAGACGTGTCAGGACAGCTGGTCTGCTCAGTCAGGAATAACGTCAGTAGTGTCTCCAAAAAAGAGAAGATATCTACCTGTGGTGAGTAGAAAACAGTTTGATTAGTATGACTGACTCTGATTATTAACTGTACATCATTTATCTGATTCTTTTCCACAGGCTTCATATTCATTAACTGCACCATCAATATGACACACATATCACAGTGGGTGCTTGAAGCCAATAACACCCTGTGCATTGAACCAGCAACAACACCTACCATGATCACAGATACTGTGAGCGTCCCCAGCAGTGATGTCCCATGGTACATTAGTGAGTGCAAACTAACCCTACTGCAGTGGATTTATTAAAGTCATTTTCCCTTTTCATTTTTGTCTGTCTCCACCCATAAAGTTTGTTAACTTAAAGATCGTGTGTCTCTTGTGTCTTTATTACTGAAAAAGGCAATTTGCCAGTAATCGCCAGCGTACTCTCTGCACTGTTAATTCTGTTGGCAGTTGGGGGGTCAGTCGCCTGTGCTCACAAGAAACAGGAAAACAACAGACCAAAAGGTACTAAACCTGAACCATCATTGCAGTCATTCTTTTTAGCTCTTTTTACAAATCAAAACAACAGACATTATGGGAAATACACTTTACTGGCTTACTTGCAGAGAGTTAGATCACTGGGTGACACCAGTTTTCTCATCTAGCTCTTAGCAAGAAAGCGAAAAGGCGTATTTCTGATTATGTTAAACTATTCCTTTAACAATTGACTTCTGATATCAAAAGTGATGTGACCTTTCTGTACTGATTTATCTAATCATTAAATATGATATATTTGTGCCATCACTTCCTTTTACTCTGCAGAAGAAGAAGATGAACAGGAATTAACCTATGCTGATGTCAGGGTTGTGCAGCTGCCTGGGAGACAGCAAAGGGAAGAGGTGGAGGTGGAGTACGGCCAAGTCAAGATTTCACAGTGACCTCGGCAGGCCATTGAACCAACAGGAGATGAATGTGTGTATGCCAAAGTCCGCAGAGGCAGCTGATTCAGTGTTCACTGCACCGCTGAAGGCAGGTGGAGGAGGTGTGCCAAGATGCCTGAAGGTCTTTCACCTTATTTTAATGTGATTTCCAATAGGAAAATAAAAAGCCATCAGTGCTCATATTATTTTATTCACCTTTACTGTACTTCTGGGTTGTGACTGAGCATCAAAGTATCAGCTCCAGCATTTGAATCACAGTGTGGCTAGTTTTATAGACTAGATTATGTATTATGACTATTTAATATTTTCGTAAGATTATATTTTGCTACAATTTTAATATCTCTTATCGTTAGATGTTCCACTTCCTCATTTTTATTTGTGTCCAATTTATGAGCATTTTACTTTTATTTCATTATTAAAACACTCTGTAATAATGTATTATGTATTCTACAATGATTGGCAGACCTGAACAGTACTCTAAACTTCTCTGAACAAGTGGCATCAGTATGTTTATTTTGGTTTATCATCAGTGATTACATGTTATCACTTTATCTTTATCAACAGGATTTGAAGAGATATATCTGTTTTACTGCTTTTATATTTGTATTGTTCACTGTAATTTCTTATTGTTGTTTTTTTTAGGTAGACAATTTTAAGATCTGTCCAGGGACAACGGATGAAAAATAGCCTTTTGGCAAATTCTGGTACATTTGCAGCAATGTTAATTAATGTACACTGTCCCTGTCAATAAACTAATAAATAAAATAAATAAATCTTCATGTCAAAGTAATACATTTTGCATTTACATAAATCAAAATCTATTTTTTTAAACAGATGTTGATGGGTGAGTCGAGGGTCAGAGTTTACCAAACAAACTAACATGCTCTTGCATATGCAGATTTATTAAAGGTTCAGTGTGTGAGTGTTAATCTCAAACTCAATCAAGCTGTCTTCCTTTGGTTTTCTGGCCTAACGATAATTTTAATTCACAGTATGCACGCATTTGTTTCCATGAGGTAAACACTTTTCTCAAGCATCAGCTTTTAGTCTTACAACATTCGTTTGTCAGTTACATGGTGCGAATTTCAAAGGGTGTTAAAAGCAGCTTTGACAGTTGACGGTAATATATCCCCTCAATGTAATGATAAATATGAGTGGGTGTGTACTTTTAATTTTGCTGCTTGCTCAAATTTTTAAGTTAATGGGGGGGATTAGTCTATTGTGATGATCCAGACATAGATAATATAGCCTACTGTCTTTTCATCTGAAATTTGAAATATACTTCCACTTTTCAGTGTTTGCTGCTAATAGTCATTTAGCAGCAAAGGAGGAACACCTTTTAATAGAGTGTTGTTCTCTTCCTTTTCCTGCTTTACTGAAACAAGGACAAAACTGAGATGGACAAAGTGTTTTTGTAGAATTTAGTAAACTCAAGCACATGAGGTTCAAGAGGAAAGGGACCTTAGAGCTGATCAGATTCTGATCATGTGATAATTTATCTTTTGACACCATCAAACATGTTTCCTATTTCGTTTGATGAGTTTCCGTTGACTTTGTGGTTTCCAGTTTAGAATGTAGGTGTCACAACAGAAGTACAGATGTCAATGTTACTCAACTGTAGCAATGGACACTTTGTGTGATGTTTTCATAATTTGAATAATTCAGTGTTGGGGTAAAGTTGAGAGGTTTGACTGGAAGCTGCTGACTCGGTCAACAGAGGCTGAACACTGAGCAGACATGGAAGCTGTGACTGGACTGTTGCTGATGCTACTCAGAGTCTCTCATGGTGAACTGATTCACTTGTTTAATTGGACACATTTTATACAACTATGGGATAAGGACATTAAAAAATGTCTGACATCATCTTCAGTGATGCGTTTTGCTTTCAAACACTGACCTACCCTGGGACCACATTCATACAACAACATTGCAGTCATGAAATGTCATGTGCTATCTTTGGAAACGTGGGGGACTTTACTAGAATTGTAAAATTAAGTCCTGTAAGTTTGAGATAAAGTTTTTCACTCAACACAAGTTTTGATGTTAACTTAAACATCACCACAAAAAATTGTACTCTGGTAACTAAAGTCAAACTGTTTTCCAGTCAGAGGACTGTGATATATTAACAATTCACAAATACAGGATACATAAACATATTGTGATCTAAAAATCTATTTATATTTCATATAATACATTACTATTTGTACATTCCTGAAAATTAGTGGTTTGTATTTTTTTCCAGGTGTGGAAACCTAATGTCAAAAAATGTAAAGTAAAAGGTACTCACCACACTTAATGGCCCCAGTGTTTTTTTATATGTATTATCACACAGTAAGATCATATGTGTTATTGGATTATATTACTGATGCTTTACCAACGTAAGAAGTATTTTAATGTTGGCAAGTTAGTTGCAAGTATGTCGATGCATCATTTAATGAATTTATTTTAAGTTGTATTTTGTTAAATATGAATCTGAAAAGTAACCACTAAGTATGCATACAATTTTTTCTACTGCAAATAAATATGTAGAAGTGTTAAGTATAATGTAGAAGTATAATGTAGCGTAGAAGTTAATGTAGCGGTTTCATGTAATGTTGTTTTATGTAAAAGCATGTTTGTATATTAATGGAAGTAACTCAACTGAATTGTTAATGTACTTAAATCACATTTCATCACTGGTCATAGTAATTCTCAGGTGCACAATTTATTTCCTGTTTGCAAACTTAAGGAAATTGAATAATTAAAATGGTTAAAATTTTGTGTTTTTTACAACTTATATTTAAAATTTCCAGGTGTGGAAACATGTGATGGCAGACAGGATGGAGCTTGGAGCTTTGGGAGGAACTGTGGTCCTCCAGCTGATGACAGCGCCTCAGAAATATTTAAATACCAATTGTTAATAAACTAAACAGTAATACTCCATTGGACAAAAAAGACAATTGTGTCTAATCTGATAATAGACACACTCTAAAAACTATCACTGGGATAAACTTAATTTTATTGGTGAAACATTTTTACACTTAAAAATACTGAGTAAATTTAAAAGCTTTGAAATCAAGTAAATATACCTTATGAATTTAGTAAATGTAAGTTAAAAATTAATAACTAACTAATCCTGATAGATAAAACAGAGTAGATCTAATTAAAATCTTAAGTCAATGTAATAGAAACCCTTGGAGATAATAAAATTGAGTAGATATAACTAAAATTCTAAGTAGATATAACTAGAAACAATATTAAATTTTAATTAACAAAACAAATATGCAACATTTACTCAATGATTTACCTGAATATTTAACTATCAATTATCAATATAAATATGTCACATGTACTTAATTCTTTTAAACTATATTTACCTTTATCTTCATACACAATATATCTCAAGAAAAACAAAGCAACTGAACACATCACATTTTAATTAGACATTTTTTTGTCCAATCTGGTTACTTTACAAAAAGATGACATAAATTACAAATGACATACACTATGTAACAATGACCACACTATAAAAACAGTGAGCTCAACTCTGCATATTAGTAAGCTGTCTCTCAAAAATGGTGCAAATGCACCAAGAATAATTGGCTTTTGAATTAACTTAAAGTCCAGTGTGTAGAGAGATTTGCAAAATATGGCAGAAATAGAATGATATTCACAAATGTTTTCAGTAGTGTATAATCACCTATTATGACCCTTTTTATGTGTACAGACGGCACGGGTCCTCTTGCTCAGAGTCCGCCACGTTGCATAGTCATGTTTCTACAGTAGTGCAGAATGGACAAACCAAAGACTGGCTCTAGGTCGGGCCAAGTGTATAGGAGAAACTACGATGGCAGTGAAACTTCAGAAAAATGGGAAGGCCCTATCTAGAGTCATTGTTTGGTTTGTCCGTTCAGGGCTACTATAGTAACATGGTGGACTTGACGCGTGCAGTCTGTAGAATAGACAATTTATTAGGTACACCTCGAACAATCTACTGCTTTGCTAAAAAGTCCACCAAAATATGTAGTTGAATCCTAATTTTAAGCCTGATCGATTCCATAACTTTCAGACTGCATGTTACAAGAAATTGACACACAAAGAGTACTCCCTCCCTGCTCATTCCCTGTGCTTCTCCTTTGCATGTTTGTGATCTCATCTCAGTCATCAATGAATACATTAGTTAAAACTTCAAACGAACACTTAAAAATCCTGAAAACTATTTTACTAACCTCAAAGTCCTTCATCAAGGCACTTGCATCTTCTCCCGGATGGTCAATGAGACATCGGATGATGGCCTTTCGTTTTTGTAGAATGAAGATTCCACTCTGCAGAACAGAAAGTATTTAAACAACTAATAAAACCTGAACATTCAAGCAGAATTTTGCTTTACTGCACCCACTTTATTGTCAAAATGGTTTCAATTGAATTAACATTAGATAAATGAAACATCAGCAGTATAGAACCGGTATTTGTGGAGTGATCCAAAGTAGATGCAAGATGGAAAACTCAGTCATGGCACAGATGAACAGGAAGATGCATGACCATGACCAGAATGAAGGACAGAAAAAGCAAATAATGTTAAATCTAGGGCAGGTAAGATTTTTTTTAAATAACCATTCATTTTTTCCTGACAGTAGTACATGAGACAGATAAGGTGGCTACCTCCACTCCAGAGGGAATACAATTGTAGTGCCTGAAGTAGAATACTCACTTCTGCCTGAATGAGAAAGAGAAAAAAGACAGAAAGAGCTGGTAACACAATCTATTATCATTTCAAGTCTTCAAAAACACATGCAGGCTTTCTGTCTGTAACTTCTGTGTTTACCTCTACAAAAAGTCTATTTACTCACGTGCGAGACATCAAACAAGGCAGGCCATCACCAGGACCTGTAATGGCAGCAAACAATGAATGTAGTGTTAAATGCAAAATATCCGATAGCAATATAATAGTTTATATTTTTATGTCCTTGGTAGTTGTAACTAGTTTCTGTTTACAGTAAATGCCAGAGATGGGGACTCGAGTTAGAGACTCGGACTGGAGTGCGACTTAAGTTGCACATACAGTGACTTGAGACTTGACTTGAGACTCGTCCTCAAAAGACTTCAGACTCGACTTGGACTCGAGGTGTGGGACTCGTGAACAATATTTATTTTTTAGGAAACTTCTGATGAGCTTACCGTTATTCCCTCCCTCCGATACCTATAACCTGCCTACGTAACACATGCTGTAACACTGCTGCGCGGCCACACGTGAGAGAGGACAACAAACAGCGGCAGCTGCTGAGCCATTCATCATAAACTTTGGCGGTGAGTTAACATCACCAACTCAGCATTGGCCATCTACCGTTAGCTCGCTTCTTGCTTTAGCTACGACCTACGAGAGGTTTACTCCGACTGTCGTTCGTTATGAAAAGATGAATGAGAGTTTGTTTACTTCCCAAACTTGTGATAGTCGATAACGTAATCATTTACGTCCCGCTGGCTGCCATCACTTAATTATTACCGTTGGCTAGAAAGAAATTACAGGTTTATTGTTGTTACACTGGTTTGAGAGTGGGGGATGTGTTGGCTTACAGTAGTTTAGGCTGTCATTGACTGCATTGCACATTACATGGTTGTGCTCTGTAAGTTAAAAACAGGTTACAGGTTTATTGTTGATTATGCAACGTCACAGTTTTATTTAATTAATGTTACACTAGGTTTAAGAGTCTGGGGAGTGTGTTGACTTACAATATTTAATAAGTGTTGTTGAAGTCTGACTGGCTATCACTCCCTGACCCAGTTTTAGTATACATCGTCATGTCATAAAACAATAAAACAAAAGTGTAGGTCAGTCCATGATTGGCCCACGTCCTCTGACCCCAACGTTTGTCATCTGATCATGCAGAGACCCCCTGTTTCTGCACCTCTCCAAAAAACACACACATCAGGTCTAGTTTAATAAATGATAAACCAACATATAAACTTCTACCTATAAAATACATCAGAGATCAATATAAGTAAACACAATATAGTGGTTCCACTGAGTAATACAAAAATCATATATCATAATCTCTCACAAGCCATCAATAATTGCATTGCACATTACATGGTTGTGCTCTGTAAATGGAAAAAACAGGTTACAGTTACAGTATTCCTTATAGCTATGCAGTTTTATAAGCAACCTGGATTGAACACAGCAGGTGACACAGAGACTTGAGACTTGACTTGGACTCTAGCTCAAAGACTTGTGAGCATCTCTGGCAAATGCAATCCTACATGGTCAAAATTAAGGTGCTACTCACTTTGCAAATTTACTGCTTTCCTAAATTTGTGTAAACCAAATTAAATGTGTTGGGATCCCTGTTTTAATGCTACACATTTAATCCTCCAGGAACACTATAATCAAAGGATGAAATCTACCTGCGGTTTTGTTATCTTCATTCAGCTTCTTTCCCTCAGTGGTGTTGGTGCTGTGAAACAAATAAAATA